GAAAAATAAACCTATCCTTGAAAGTCTCCAGCCCTCGGTGGAGTCGGGATCCACTGTCAGGTGCTTCCTCAAGGCCTCCTGCAGTTTCTCCGTGGGGTTCTCCTGAAGGCTTGGTGGATTGGGATTTCATAAAGGCAGGCTTCTGCCTCGACCTTCAAGGTCTTCAAGGACTAGGGCCGGAAGGCATCTCCTTTTCCAATCATCCTGTTCATCGCTGGGATCGCACTGCTGGTTGTCCCTGGGAACCGCCTGTGTCCTGGGCAGMTCATCAGCTCTCCCTCCTGTCATGGCTGAGCCACAGAGCATCTCCAGGGTGCTGCAGCTGCCCAAGACAACCCCCTTTCCACTAGAGGTCAAAGTGTGGCTGAGCAGTAACAGGAGATCCCTCCAGGAGGGACTGAACTCCGACACAAGACAACTCAGTATATTTACCTGGATCCTCTGAGAACTTCCCCAAGTCCATCTTCATTTGCCTCAGGTCTTGAAGGGAAAAGGGACCTCGGTTGGCCCAAATCCCCTCCTGGCATTTCCTGCAGAGGTGTAGGTTTTGTCCTCCTCTAGAGAGGATAATGGGGTCCTGGGCAGGGAGGACATGGGGGCTACTGCAGGGGTTAGTGGGAACCCTTGGGATTTCTCTGGCCTCTCTACCTGGCAGGTGTCTTCTCCTAGATGCTCTTCCATCGTGGTGAAGCCAGATTCAAAGAGAGGTAGTTAGTGTAGTAAAATAAAAACTGAAGGCCACATGGAGAATGGAGCCCCGGAAAGCAGAGCAGCCCTCAGGGAAATTGAAATGTAATGTCCCAAAGGCCCAGAGCCGTTAATAAAACGGCTCCCAGCAAACAGGGAGGTGCTAATCAGAAGGGCCCCAGGCCCTTCCTGCCCAGATTACATCTCCCGCCCATCTGCCCCTCACCTCTGGGGTCTCCCCACCTACATTCAACCACTGCAAGATAACAGAACAAAGGACAGGGACACCATGGAAATGTGGGGAAGTTGAACGAAGACCTTGGCTATTAAAGAGGGAAGACCTCCCCTTCCACGGACTGCACCTCTCGGGTCCCCTTCTTCCTCCTATCTTTCCTGCTGTCCTTTAATAAGGCTCCCACTGTCCACTCTCCCTGGCCTCCGCGAGCTTCTCTGGTGTTACCCTTCAGCATAGGGAAGCCAGGGCTCCTCACTGGTAAACCGCGGTGACAGTGGCAGCAATCTTAGCGGGCTCTAGCTTACACTGCAACATAATTTGGGGTTCTCCCTCCGAGCAAGGGAACCTCGGGCCATTCTCCTGCCTCCTTACAAACACACTAAGCTGCAAGACAGCACTGAAGGTCACTCTCCCTCTGGCGGCCATGGTTCTCCCTGGAACTCCCACTGAGGCCTGACAGCAGAAGGGAATCAGGAACCTGAGCATCTGTGGATCAGACTTGTCCCAGACTTTCATTAGGCAGTCTAGTGGTGACGAGCAAGTGGCATTGGGGACACTTTATGAACTGGACATTCAGAATCACGAGGGCCTGTTTTAGTCAGGTTTGTTTGYTTTTTGTTTTTGCTGCTGAGACCAAAAGTCCTAAAGAACAATCAGAGAAGGAAAAGTTTACTTGAGGCTCACAGTTTCAGGGGTCTCAGTCCACAGATGGCCGACTCCATTCCTTGGGGACTGAGATGAGGCAGAACATCACGAGGGAAAAGTGTGGTGGAGCAGCAGCTGGGAAGAAGGCCACCTGATGCAGAGAGGGAGAGGCTTCAACAAGGACAAAGTACAAATGCAGGGACCCCCTCCTCAGCCACACCCACCTGCCTACTGGCCACTCGGTTATCCCTTCCAGAGGATCCGGTTAAGGATCCCATAAGCCTTTCATTTCACCCCAAACCTTCTTGCATTATCTCACACAGGACTCTGGGGGACACCTCACATCTAAACCAGGACAGAGCCCTCCTAATGCTAGCCTGTACTCCACATCAGAGGGTCCCATCCTGAGTGGGATTCCCATGCATCCACAATATCGGGGATCTTCCCTGGGCCAGACATGGTCTGAGGTGCCAGACATACAGCTGAAGTCCCCTGCCCCTGAACCCCTGAGGGATGATGTTATAGTGGAGAGATGCTTAACAAGTAACAGAAACCAAAGCTGAAGGGAGTGCCAAGACACAGTGTGTCCTGGGTGGGACCAGTGTTAACCAACTTCTGCACCAGGCAGGGGGACTGGGGGCTCCAGAACCCAGGACCAGCCCAAAGCTCAGGGTGAGAAATGGAAAAAGAGATTTGAAGGACAAGAAGCATGAGTCAGCCTCACCAGACCTGCCCTGCCCCCAGGTGAGACCAAGGACCAAGATTCACAGTGACAGCCAGGCCACTGCCTGCTGGATTCTACCATGCTGGGGACAACCAGGGCCTGGTCCCAGAGCTGTGAAACAGACTTACAGATGTCACCACACCGCTGCAGAGACATCTTGCAACACACATAGAACCTCACTTTTAGCCCCAAGGAATAAGCCCCCAAAGCCCTTCCAAACTGATCTATCCCACTGTCTCGAGGAGGCAACGTTGCAACATATGCAGGAGAAATAAAGAATGTCCATGCCCTTCTGCCCCTTTCAATGCTTTATTCACTCAGATCACTCCATACAGTTTCACTCTGTAGGTTCTTAATCAAGAAAACGACAATCCTTAATGCTGGGCACCGCAATAGACATAATCACTTCACAGCAAACAATTCTAGATTCAGTCTAAGCACTGCAAAACACACCTAATCATGACAGGCTAATGACAGACATCCCCTCTGCAGGCTAAGTTCAAAAGTCCTAAGTCTTAGGCTTTATGTCCAGCAGATGCCCACCCACTCAGACTGTGGTGACCAGGTCCGGAACCAAGCAGGCTTTTCCTGGCGCGGAGTGGACGACCAGTTGAGGAGGGGGTCTTAGGGAGAAGTTGCGGCTCTCACCAAGGTTCAGACGAGGTGGTAGAGTTTGAGAGTGGTGACGATCACACAGAGGCTCAGGAAGGATGACAAGTGATGGGACGTCAGGTCCTCATCAGGCTCTCCAGCTCCAGTGCATCCTTGTTTCTGCTGGCTGAATCCCGTTCATCAGCTCTATTATTTACATTAAATTTGGGGGCTTTTGACCCCCCTTTCAATCCTTTTTTTAAAGAGAGAGTGAGAGAGAGAGAGGGAGAGAGAGAGAGAGAGAGAGAGAGAATTTTTAATATTAATTTTTAGTTTTCGGCGGACACAACATCTTTGTATGTGGTGCTGAGGATCAAACCCGGGCCACACGCAACTACCACTTAAGCCACATCCCCAGCCCCTTTTCAATCCTTATCAGCTACCAATGGATTTCTCAGTGACATCATTTACCCTGGGGTCAGAAACATCTGGTCTGGTGTCTCCCCCCACCCCATCTTCTCGCCCTTCCCTCTTATCAGGCAAGGACAGCCTGCCAGGGGCTTCACTCTGTTGATCAGGGTCAGGGGAAGTGACTTGTTTGAGGCCACACTGGAGGGCTCTGTGGGTGTGCCTGGTGAGCCTGCAGGTTTCAAACTGGAGTTTTTAAAATGGAGTTGCTTAGGCTCAGGCCTAGGGCCATCCTCACAGCCCTCATCCTGTGAGAATGCATCCTGGAGACCATGCAAGAAGATGGACTGTCCCTGAAGACTCATGCCCACTGAGTGTGCCCCATCCGGCTCCAGTGGCAGGCCTGTTACAGGGCTGGCCTTGGCCCCAGCCCTCCCTGGCTGCCCTAACACCCTGCCTCACACCCCCACTGTGTCTCCCCCCACCTCTGGGAGTGGAGCTAAGGAGCCCTTTCCCTGGGGCCCTCCCTCCTCCTGTCACTGCAGCTGCCACCCAGCAGGACTGCAGGGCCAGGTGGGACTGCTTCTACAGGAAATGTGCCATGGAAAAGCGAAGTGTGACTGCGGGGAAGGGGTGGTGAGAGTGGGCAGCCCACAGCCATGGAGGGGGCTCTGCAGAGGGCCTGCAGCCAGACACAGCTCCCTGCTGGTGTCCCCAAACAGTGGCCTGCCTGCCCTGCCAGGGTGGGGCAGAGGACAGGGCCCCGGGTGGCTGCAGGGCCAGGTGCAGGTTGGCGGAGCCACTTCCTGGGCATCTGGAGACCCAACAGCTGATGCTCTGGGAGAGGGGAGGAGAGGCACTGGGACTTCTAAAGGGTCTTGGTGTCCTTGCAGAGGGGCAGGCCAGGCTGCCTGGTGGACCCCATGGCTGCTGCAGCACACAGGAGGCTGTGTCCCTCCTAGGGCCAGCCCTGGCAGGACAGGAGGCAGCCCTGTGCCCAGAAGGAGAGGTTCCAGTTAGATCTGTCAAAACCAGTGCCAGGGGGAACAGAAACCAGAATCCCCCACCTCCCATCCCAACCTCATCCTGTCTCCCCCAAGGCTGCCCAACCTTGGGATGGCCCAGGGACAGCCCAGCGTGGAAGCAGGTGCAGGCTAAGGACAGGCTTAGGGCCCGGTGTTGCTAAATCCTCTGGCCTCTTCACCCTCCCCACCCACCCATTCAGCCAAGGGATTCCCACACTGCACCTTGGGCCTCGGGCAGACGGGTCTAGCCCCCATAAGCCTGGGCATCAGTGACTGTCACACTGACTGGTCGCCAGTTAAGCCTCACCAGGCTTACCCTTCAGGATAGTGAGAAGCACCGGCCAGGCACGTGGCAGGATCCGGTGGACCCGGTGGGAGGCTGGGCCCCGCCGGAACTCAGGTACCACCTTACATGAGAGAGGGGCTACTGAGGTCTCAGGTCCCTCTCTGGGTGTCACAAGGAACGTGGGAACGCCGCGGGCTCACAGGCTCCAAGTCAGTGTCCCAGGATGGAGGGCCAGCGGGGGGATCTGGACGATCCTCGGGTCTGGAACGCGTCCCCCGAGGCCCCCGCCCCCAGCACGCACAACGCCGCGGCCCGCCCCCGCACCCCGCGGAGACCGCCCCCCGCCCGCCGCGCCGCCCCGGCCCCGCCCGCCCGCCGCCTCCCCATCCGGCGCGGCGCTCGGCGTGCAGAGGAGGCTCCGGCGGTCGCCGTGCGCAGCGCGCGAGGTTGGGCAGCTCGGCGAGGCCGCGGCGCCTGCGTCCTCCGGGCGGTGAGTCTGTGGGRCCCGGCCCGGGTCGCCCACGTAACCTGCGGGGACCCGACCTGCGGGCCGCCGGGGCCGCAGTGCGCGCGGACGGGGAGGGAGGGGCCCAGCGAGGGGAGCGCGCGCGGAGGCGCAGGGAGGGTCGGAGGAAGCTGGGAGTCGGGGGCTGCCGGCGGGCCTTCCGCAGGGGGAGCCCTTCCTCCCGTCTCCCAGCCCTCCCCGAAGGTTTCCGAATATCTGGGCAGAGCAGGCGAAGACCGCTGCCCGGCCCTCTCCCAGTGGACGCGGGGCCCATCACCCAACTCCAGGCAGCCGGAGTTCCCGCGTGGGGTCTGGGGAGGGACAGCCTGGCAGACTGGAGGAGGAAGCCGGGAACCTGGGGAGAGCCCCTGGCGGAAGGGGGAGAACTAACTMCCTGGGGGGTTGATTACCTGGGGGCTGGAACCCGCCCTAGGGAGGGGGAGCGGATGGCTTTGTTTTGACCTAGATTATGCATGCGAAGGAGGTGCCTCCTGAGGTGGGCCACCTSGTCCCTGGAGGCCAGGACCGGTTCGTGACTCCGATGCTGGGCTGACTACCACTAGATTCCTGGCTTTTCCAGGGACAGGGGAGCTGGGCCTGGGTCCCTCTGGCTGCCTTTCCTTTGCCCATTCAGAAACCTAGGTTTTTTCCGGTCTCCTGGTTGCCGTCCACCCCAGTGGATGCCTTTACTCATCCCTGCGGGGCTTGCTTGGTCAGGTGTCCCCAGTGGGTGGGTGGGGATGCCTGCTGGACCTGTTTGTCCCTGTGCATGCCAGAGCTTCCTTGGAGACWGCTCAGGGTTCCTCCACACCACAGCCTCACTTTATGGAGAAAGAACTTCCTGCCTGGGCTGCCTGGTGGCAGGAGCAGACGCGGCTGAGCTTGGCACTGACGTTGGCCATCTGGGACTCCTGTTCCAGACTCTTAAGGTGTCAGGAGAGGTTCAAGCTGGATGGGAGAGGCCTGGGGCCCATTTGCACAAACCCGGCCTGCAGCTTTCCCTTCCAACGTCTCCTGCGAAGACCTGCACCCCTTTATCCCGGGGCCTCGGGCCGCCTCTCCCCSACCAGGGCTGATCTGAGTACCTGACTCCTCTGCAGTTCCCCAGAGAATCAAAACCCAGTTCCTTCTCCCCCCAGTGCCACTGACCCCTGCCCAAGAGAGGACTCCTGGTGCAGGACAGCAGCCCCAAGGAGGCCCCCTGCTCTACCCCAGCCTCACTGTGTGTCAGCCTGGCCACAGGTGGCCACCTCACTGAGCCCTTCCCAGCCCCGGGTCTGCCCTCAGGGGAGTGGAGACTCGAGGACCCAGCTGACCGTAGGAAAGAGGGTGCTGATTGGCTTGTATCATTGACCACCATTTCCCCACCTCAGCACTGGGCCTCTGTTTCTGTGGGATTCCAAAAGTCTTGATGATATCCCTCACCTGGGCTGCCCTCTAACACGGTGCATCTCTCCCAGCAGGACAGGTGTCTTTGGCTTTGAGTGCCTGTGGACGGCCATCTGTCCCCTCCAGCATGAGGGTCTTCTTGCCGGTGCTGTTGGCTGCCCTTCTGGGTCTGGAGCCAGGTGTGATGCCCTGGGCCCCGGACCTTCTCACAGACCATGCCCTCCTCCGGCTCCCTCTCCCCTGACCCCTGGGCGTTCACTCAGTGGTCCTTCCAGGACAGCCTCTGCGGGACCTTCTGGCTCCTCTTCCCCAGTGAAGCGAGGCACTTCTGCCTCCAGTGTTAGGAAGCCTCAACACTGGCCAGGCCACACTGTTGTCACCCGTGTTTGGGGGTCACTTGAGCTCACCAGGGCCAGGGTCTGGTGTTATTTGTCACCGTCTGGTCTTGGTACCCAGCCCAGAGCCTGGCGTGTAATTGTTGCTCAGTAAATGCCCACAGCTGGTTAGGTACAGAGGGCAGGCCTGGGAGGCACACTGGAGGCCACCTCCAGCAGGAGGCAGGTGTCACCCAGTGTCCCTCCTTCTGCAGTGCACTCTCTGGTGTGCTTCTCCTGCGTCAACCAGAAGAGCAATCTCTACTGTCTGAAGCCCACCGTCTGCTCCTCTTCTGACAACTACTGTGTGACTATGTCTGCCTCTGCTGGCATTGGTGAGTGCTGGCCCGGAGCACCTCAGCCTCGCCCCACCCGACCCCTTGGCTGTCTCCCACGGCCAGTGCGACCCCTCACAGTCTGGTTTTCCTGCAGGGAATGTCGTGGACTTTGGACACACCCTGAACAAGGGCTGCTCCCCCATCTGCCCTGGTCCTAGCGTCAATCTCGGCGTGGCGTCTGTGGGCACCCACTGCTGCCAGAGCTTCCTGTGCAATTTCAGTGCCGCCGGCGGGGGACCGCGGGCCAGCACCGCACTGCTGGGCCTCGGGCTCCTGCTCAGCTTGCTGTCTGTTCTGCTGAGACTGGGCCCCTGACCTCCTGGACCTGAGTCCCCCATGTCCCCCAGCTCAGGAAGAAAAGCCCCATCCCTCGCAGATCACAGGAGGCTATTGGAGCCTCCAGCTCCTTGGCGTGCCTGATCCCCCCACCTTGGGCCAGAACCACCCCCTGCACCTACCCCTGCACAGCCCCTATCCCATGTGGGGCCAGCCGCCCTCACTTCTGCAGCCAATTGTGTGACCTTTCTCAAGGAACCAGGACGGGATGAGGGTTCCCCTGAAGTCTTAGGGTCCCCAAGGGCAGGACTGAGCCTTGTGGGCACCAGAGGGACATCTAAGCCATCAGCCCTAGGCTCACTGAGTGTGGGGTGGTGGTAGACACCAGCGTGTTGTGAATATTTAGGTGTGAGTCCCTGGGGTGGTGTTGTGGGAGGGACAGGAGAGTCCAGGGCAGCAGCAGCCCCCGGAACCCTGATTCACCAGACCCCMCCATCTGCACCCACATTGCACTCACTTCAGGGGTAGCCTTTAGGGGCAGGGGGCTCCCAGTGCTTCCAGGCATGGGCTCTCGCCCAGGTCCTGCTGAGCCCTGCCTGCCCCTCCTTGCTCCTGCACTGCACCCCGCTGCTGCCTCAGTGCCTCAATAAAATGTTGCCACCCCTCTTGACTGCCGTAGTCACCTCTCCAGCCGCCCTCTGAGTCCACCTCCTGGAGGCAGGAGTGGAGGTCCTCTGGTGTAGTCCTAGAGGGAGGCCCCATGGGGCAGTAGAGGAGGAGGTCCCCAGGCCTGTGACCAGTGACCACTGCCATGCCCGTTACCCTGCCCTGGAGCGAGGTCCATTGAGTGGGTCTGCATCCACAAGGCCAGGGGGGGTCCTGGGCAGCAGCCTGGGTTGAGGATCTCWGAGAGGGGCCGCTGTCCCCAGGGCCTATGGAGGAGCAGGAGACCCCCACAGAAGGTGGGTCAGGCTGGTGCCCCCAGGAAGCATGACCCCTGGCCATGGCCTGCGCTCGGCTGAGCTCCTGGCTTAGGTGAGGCAGCAGGGTTGCTGTCMTCTTAGACATGTCCCAAGTCTCCTGGACAGTGGCAGGGTCTCCTAGCCCTGCTTGTGCCCAGGTCCTAGGAGCCAAACAGGGCATGGCGGTCTCCATGAGCACACACAGCAGGCCTCTGAAACCTGTGGACGTAGTGTCCCTTGCTCCAAGTCCGGGACCCCCACCCAGTGTCCGGAAGTCCTGGGGGGGGCCTGCAGAGGAGGGTCTGCCTAGAGCGCAGCCCTGCCCCGCGAGCGCCCAGAACGCTCTGGAGCAGCTGCACAGCCTTCAGGTGCGGGCAGTAGAMACACCTCAAAGCCTGGGATGACCGGAAACGAGGATGGGTGCCCGTCCAGGGRAGTCTGAGCTTGTCCCCCAAGAAGTTGAACCCAAAGCCGTGGTCAAGAATCAGAATCTGACTCCAGTGGCCCGGGGCAGTGATGGCCTCCTGACGGAGGCTTGTGCTGGCTCCCACTTCCTGTGTGCAGTGCCCACTGTGCCCAGGTGTCATTAATTGTGGTTGCTCTCCTAACTGTGAGGTGGGTGTCACGGCTCCGAGTGGAAGCACTTGCTGTTGGTAGGAGGGCCTGGTTCCCTTAGGGCGAGGCAGCCCACGCCTGGGACTGTGGGTCCTGCCCCCCTCCCAGGGGAGGCCGGGGCTGGCAAGAGTCCGCCTGGGAGCCTGGGCTGGGGGAGGAGCTRGAGGCTGAGTTTCTATTTCCCCGACTTTGGATGGAGGAAAAGGGAGGAGCCCAGAGGCTGGGTCCGGTTTGCTGAGCCCTGAGGGGGAGGTGCAGCTTGAGGAGGGAGGGGGAGGGGGGCCGCCTGGGCCTGAGCTGCTGGAGGGGAAGCCGGCCCATGCCCCACCCCGGGGCTGGTCTGAACTCCACAGAGCCCCGGCAGGCCCAGGTGACAGGATGATACCTCCCCGTCCTGGGTTGATGGTGGGACAGGAAAAGGACTTTGATTTCAGTATGTCACCCTGGAAAGTCRCTGGGTCTAAAGGCAGGTACCAGTAGCAACACTGGGGTTGCTAGTGGGGAGCAAACAGGCCAAGGTGGGTGTGCCTGGTGCAGAGCATGGTCGGTTTTTGTCTTTCAGGTGCTATCCACKGGGTTTGTGGTCCTGGAATTCAAAATAAATTGAGGGAAAGAATAACTAGGAAAGGACAGGCCAGAGAGAACGGCCCGGTTACTAGAGTCGTCCACCACCACAGCACATCAGCCCCAAGTTCTCTTCCCACAGATGGGTGTTTCTGGAGGGTAACTGGACCTGCCCACCCTGGGCTCTGGCTGGCTCCTGGGGGTGCCTCCTAGCTGTTCTTGGCCCGACTAGAACGTCTAGCAAGATGCTTCAGAAACCTCCTGCCCAGCCTGTGTCCCTCCTGCTCCCACCAGCTGGCCAGCCAGGAGACTGCCTCCTCTTCTAGGCCTGTTCCCCTGCTGGGACTCCCAAGATTCCCCAGCCTGCTGACCCTGGGCTCCGCCTGCCCACTGTCCACGTCCCCTGCACAGCCAGGGGCCATGCGCAGTCTGGGCCTGGGGTGCCCCAGCTTCAGGGTCTCCAGTCCCCCCCCAGGACGCCCCACCTTTCTTCCCTCTCCCCTGGGCCAGGCCCCGCAGCAAGTCCTCCTGAGGGCCTGGAGCCCCAGCTGCCCCGACCACCCCAGCTGCTCCTGGGCTTCAGGGTGGGTAGCAGGGAGCCTGGGGCGGGTGGATGCTGAGTGTGTGGTGAGGCTGCTGCCTTGTAGGGGCAGCAGGAAGCCTGGACCTGAGGCTTCAGCTTATGGCCAGAGGTAGCGGGGGGGGGGGGGGGGGGGGGGGGGGGGGGGGGGGGGGGGGGGGGGGGGGGGGGGGGGGGGGGGGGGGGGGGGGGGGGCTCAGGAGGCTGAGTGACCTGAGCAGCCTCCCGACTGGCCCAGGGCCTTCCCCAGGCCCAGGCCCCTGTGGCGATGCACACAGGGTGGGCATGCTCCCCGCCCCTCCAGAGCTCAGGGCAGCTGGCCATCTCCAGGGCCCCCCTTTCTGTGGAGAGGGTCTCAGGAAGATGTGAGGGCGCTGCTGGGCGTGATGGACACAGGCGGACCAGGCCTGGGGTCGGGCTCTCCTTCCTGTGGGCAAGAGGGTGGCTGGCCCCTTGGACTTCCTCCAAGAGCCCCTGGAAGCCCACAGGGACACTGATGCCACTCAGGAAGAGTGGACCTGCCCTGAGCCCACAGTGAAGTCAAGCCCAGGTCTCCCCGACCACGGTCCCCAAGCTTTGCAGGACTCCTGGGACGCTCCCCCRGAGCCCCACCACAGCCCTGCTCAGGTGCGGGATCCTCCTTGGGACTGACTGTGAACAGGGCAGTGGCCACACAAGGTCCCCTTCACACCCTGTGTGACTGATGATCCCCGCCCAGGCCTAGTGATGGAGGGGGGCGTGGTCAGGGGTCAGAGGTGAACCAGTGGGCTCTGCCCTCATACAGGCAGGAGAACTCCTGAGGGGTAAGAGGGGCTGGCCCCTCCTCACAGGAGGTCAGGTGAGGTCATGGTGAGGCTCGTGGCCCCTCATTGGAGCCCCTGCCCCAGAGATCTCACCCCTCATCCATGCCCCTTCCTCCTTGTCCCCCTCTTGCGAGCCTGTCCCCACCGACAACAGCACCCCTGGGTGCACGGCCGGCCAGCCTCGCCACCTTGCGTCTAGGTTCAGTGCGGGCCGGGGTGGGGGCCAGGCCTGGGGAGATGGCAGGTAGGGCCCAGCACCCTGTGGCCCAACTTGCCTCCTGCCACTCCAAAGCAATTACAGTGACCCTTGAGCCCTGACCTGCCCTGGAGGTCCAGGCAGAGAGACTGTGGTGGGGGACAGTTTAGGGGAACAGAGATGCTGGAAATTCCCATCATTTGACAGCCCTTCCCCAGGGTCACAGATCCTTCCTCAGGCCTGCTAAGAGGGACTTTGACCCCCATTTGTCCCCCAGATCCACCAGGGGCTCCTGGAGGACCACAGAGATTCTCCTGCCCCAGAGGGTGACCCCCCATATCCCATTCCATGCCCCCAGCTACTCCCAGGATCAAGCATTGCTCTCCCCAGTGCTGTCCCCAAGTTCCCCAGCCCAGCCCCTTCGCTGCTCCCCTCCCAGCTGAGTGCCTCTCCCCACACACGCTGGGGCCTGATCCAGGAACCTAGGGGCCCCTGACGTTGCCGTCCTGGACTGCCGCAGTCTGCCTGGGCACAAAATCACGAGCCACTCACAGCCTTGTAGATTCAAACAGCAACTCTTTATTCCCGAACTCACACCGGCCCTCTACACACGTTCTGGGGAAATCCACGTTCTGGGCAAAATCCACGTTCTGGATCCCAAATACTCTCTGAATCCCACGAGAACTCACCGGGAACTCAAGGAGCGGGCGTGCCTGAGGCAGCAGGATATGCCCTATTCCCAGCAGGGTACACCTTAAACCTGGAACCGCCCTAAACCCAAGGAGCAGGATACTCCCTAAAACCTGATCCGCCCTAAACCCGGATCCGCCCTGGTCCTTGAGCAAGGTCAYYTTACTCAAGCATACATGCAATGYCACTGCAAATGACCTGGGTCCAAAGGCAAGCCCATTTCCACAATGGAGAGTCCTTCCTCTAAGCAACATGGAGTAGGCTGACAAAGAAATTGCCATGCGTCACTCCTACTTGGCAATGGCTCTCAGCACTAGAGGATGAGATATGAGAAGGGGCCCTGCCTATCGTGACCACCCTTCTCCCACCCAGGGCCTGTGAGAGCTGTGGTCCCTGTCCGGCCACGGGCACATCCCTGGACAGGAGGGGCTGCGGCCAGGGAAGGGCCAGGGGGGCTTTGCTCCGTCGTCCTGGCACTGCTGGCTCTGCAGACCCTGGCAGGTGACCATACTTGGTCATCCCACTGGCCACAGCAAGAGAAGTGACTGAGCAACCTCCCTGCTGTCCTGGGACACAGGGACCACATGATGTGGGAGGGGGAAGGCCTGTCGCTGAGGGTGGCAGGAAGGGGGCCCCTGAGAACCTCTTGAGTTGGTTTCCTGGTGTCAGCCTGAACAAGGACAGGTGGGACCCTCCTGTTCAGGCCCTGGAGTTCTGGGAGGGGCGGGGGCAGCAGCACTGGCTTCTGGGAGGATGGGCTCCAGGGACAAAGGATCGTGCTTGTTGCCGTCTGGACCCTGAAACCTCTGACCGCCTGCACGGTGCCCGGTGCCCTGTGGCTTGCAAGAGTGAGAGCCTGGATGCAAAGCTCCACCCTCCCAGCTGCCCGGCTGCTGGGAGGTCACCTGACAACCACCCCGCCACTCCGGGCCATGTTGATGTCAGGCAGCCCTGGACTCAGCCTCATTGTAGTGGGAAAACCCACAGCAGGTGGCAGAGCCGACATGGTGCCCACGTTAAGGAAGAAAAGAGGGGCCTCCTGGCTCCAGGGAGTTGCCTCCCTGTGACCCTCACGGTATTGATCATCAGGACGGAGTTCACGTTCCCCGGAGCTGAAGAATGAGACCGTGAACAGCCAAGGTTCATTTAAGAAAGTGATAGAGGACAGACCCCCTTCTAGCCCTCAGCGCTTACCTCTATTGTCAGTCCTCCTCTTTGTCCCTCCCCACACCGAGAGCAAAGCACCG